TCCCCTATACCCAAAGCCAACTAGATAAGGCCCCTAGTTCTGTCACTCTCCCCTAACTAGGATGTACCTCCCACCACATCCAGCATTTCCTGAGCAAGCACAACATCAGGGTGTTTGACACAGCTCCTCTCAAGATCCACGGTATGCTGACTTCCCATAAGGACAGGCAAAATCCACACCGCCGACCGGGTGTGTACAAGATCCCCTGCCAGTGTGGCAAAGTGTACATCGGAGAGACCGGTAGGGACCTTCCTACCAGGATCAAAGAACACAAAGCCCGTGGCAAGAAGGGGGACTATGAGAAGTCAGCCATCATCAAGCATTCCCACGCCGAAGACCACACCATCAACTGGGGAGAAACCCACCTCATCATTAGCATCGAACAGTGGTACCCAAGATGCATTAGAGAAGCCCTCGAAATCTCCAAACACCCCACCGTGCCTCAAGACATCGGCTTCTCCATCAGCGACATCTGGCAGCCCCTGCTTACTTCCTGGTCTGATGGATCCTCTATACCCTAGGCCCCCCCACCGCCCATGGGTCTCCTACACCCAGGCAACCTTCCCCAGCCCATGACCAACTGACATGTATCAGTACCCAGGTGGATCCACCAGCTGCATCCTCGTTCCACCTGACTACACAGAAGGATCCGTCACACTCCAGTGCTCCCAGTTAGCTTATAAGCCCCTCTGTCGGCATCTCTTCAGTTTCCTGACGACGGACAGAGCATACTGTCTGAAACGTTGCATTTCTCACGGTTCTTTTCAGAACTTTCGTTTTGTTTTTCGTTTCCTTGCATGGTGCTACAGCAAGCTTTCCACCTTAGTTATCTGTCACCATGAATAGCTTGAAATCCCATTTGGCAGGTTTGGTACCGTACCTGAGGAACTTCTTGTTGAATTTTGTGAGATTTGGGATGCAAGATGTTTGATTCTGTGTGAGTTGGGACACACACGGGTCACTGTGTGTAGTGCCTGGCTTGCTGTACCAATTGTTGGACTATGCTTCATTTTGTCAGGTTTGGTACTGTTCAGTGCAAGTCATCCTATACTGCATAGACCCATCCATACCATATCACTCAAACTCCAACGGGCTAATTCTGTTGTAGTTTATCAGGTTTGGTACAGTAACCTGCATGTACAAGTACATAGACAAGTACATGAACCTGTTGGATTTTGTGAGGTTCAGTATGCTTTCTAGTGCAGGAGCCTAGGGGGTTAGGGTTAATGAAACTTGTATGGGGAGGTCAGACAGAAAGCTGGCACTTGTACTGGGTCTGCCCCCACAATTAATCAATGAATGTGCACAGATCTCAGATATCTCAAGTGAGTGCCCATTACATAGAGTTTACTCTGGTATACTCAATTCTGCTATTACAGTTTAAACAATTTAAATACATGTAGGTACAATCTTTGTTTCTTTCAATGTACTTCTTTTCAAGGGTTGTCAACAAGCATGAGGAATTTTTGAATGACTTTAAAATGTTACTTAGTTGTGTTATCAGATTAAGAGAAGGAACCGTCCATAAATAAAAAAAAAGCCGTTTTAACCATTTCCCGCCGGGTGCTTTTAACCACTTCCTGCCGGGGAGCCCGGTTTCAGGCACCGTGTTTTATAAGCGTGGCTGGGGTCTCTGAAATTGGACAAAGGGAACTGGGCCTTGTAACAAAAGACCGTACTAGGAACAAAAGACCAGGCTGCTGGGCATTACAGACTTTTCTCACTCTCAATAGTGGAGATAACCTAGCCTTGTTTTGAAACAGTGTACCACGGTTTGGGGCATTTAGTGCGAGTGGATTACCACCGGGGACAAAAGTGCTCCACCACAACAGTGATGAGCCACACAGCACCGCTGCGCGCTAATCTGGCCCCTATTGAAAAGAGGTCAGCAGCACACTGTGCCAGGTTCGTGAACAAAAGAAAGTTACATAACACCACACAATCTGGGGTCTTTTTACAAGCTGCAGGCCTGGCTGAAATACTCGGGCGTCAATAGAGTTTGTCTGTCTGAATAGAGTGGCCACCAGGCAGTAATTTGTGTGGGTGTAAACGTCCATTAAACGAAATGATTAATTTTTGAAGATTTTTGAAAACTGAAAATCTTGAAAAAGTCCTGATTATGTGCACTGCATTTTTCAAACCACCCGGCAGCGAGTGGTTAAAAATGCAGTGCCTACATACGGGCAATCTTCAAGATTTTCTGTTTTCAAAATTCTTCAAAAATTCATAATTTCATTTAATGGACGTTTATACCCACACGAGTGACTGTCTGGTGGCTACTCTAAACCTCCATTGACGCCCGAGTATTTCAACCAGGCCTGCTGCCCTGTAAAGAGAGCCCAGAATTTTGAGGTGTTATGTAGTTTCCTTTGTACCCAGTGAATGCCAATGGCATCTTTTCAAACGCGGCTGGATTAGCGTGCAGCGGTAACGTATCGCTCATCGATGGGGAGCTGGAGCACTTTTGTCTGTGGTGCTAATCCGCGGGTGCGCTATGCCAAAAATAGTGGTATACTGTTTCAAAACAATCAGGGATTACCTCCGATAAATGCAAGCTGAGAAATGATGGCAATTACCAGCAGCGAGTCTTTTGTTCCCAGTTCCAGCTCTTTTGTCTGATTTCAGGCACCCGGCTATGCATACAAACTCAAGGTACCCAAACCGGGTCCCCCGGCAGCATATGGTTTAAAGGAGTCTTACAAAAGGTAATTTGAAGAATTTGTTAACAACTGATATTTAAAAACTGAATATAATCGAACAATTTGAAACTTACAATTCTTGTTTCACCTTGTGCACCCTTCTCCCCTTTAGTTCCACGCTGAAAAGACATAAAAATATGAATCAATGTGAAGACATACTATCCATTGTTTATGCCATTTAGTCTCCACTCATCAAGCTTTTTAAAAAAGGTTGGCTAGTGCTGTAGTCAGGATGATATTCGGGACTTTACACGAAGGCTTAAAATTTAAATGGTCCACAATGTGAATTTTGATTGGGAAGATGTTTGGTATGAATTTCTACACTTCTCAAATGTAAGAAAACTATGAACATCTCTCTTTGCCTACTCTCAAAGAAAATCAAAAATATATCATGCTTTTCTGATAAATAAGGGCACCACTGTTATGTCATTACAGAAAGAAAAGAACAGAACAAAAGTTGAAAATAAGATAAAGTGTGACACAAAGGTGCATTTTGAAGGTTTTGAGTTGAAAAAATTAATTGCAGCTACCCTAAAACAATTACACTGCCTGGGCCCTTCAAACCAAATCCAAAATGCTTGAGGAAATGAACTGGATATCTATTATATATTGATTTATATAATGAAGTATTTATTCTGAGATTTAGATAATTGAATTACATAATAGAGGTAGATAGGATAAATAAAAATAAAACACAAAGAAAGACAAATGCTAAGAAAGTAAACCCAAAAAGAAAAGCCCCATAACAAAACCACAAATCAAAACAAAATGAAAAACAAAACATTGTATAAAATAAACTTTCACTGAAAAACTGTAATATGCCTACCACTACAGTACCAGTCCCAGGGTCAGTCACCCCTGTGCCTGGATCCACCCCACTTTGGAAAGAACTGTCATCAGGGATCGGTTCTGGGTAGCTGTATGAGTCTGATGAGGAGGATTCAGTTTCACTGTAATAGACAGCTGGTGTTGGTCCCTCCTGTTCACCATTTGTGTCTGGCTGTGTAGTGGGCTGATAAAAATAGATGAATGCATTTTTTTATTAGCCAATAATGGTGTGGGTTTTTGGCAAATTGAAGTATAGGTTGACTTGAGCAAAAGGCACATCGGTCAATTATCTGGGCTAACGGTATGTTCACACATGCTCTTTGTTAATTTTGCTCACATTACTCAAATTGCCTGGTCTGTGCAAAAGTCAGTAATACTACTGCTCTGGCCTTCAGGAAACTTTGATGAAGTTAGTACAACTGAGCCACTTTGGGAGCTGTTACATTGGTAATTTTGTACATTTCCAAGTATAAAATAATAAGAAGCTGTTCCTACTCACACAATGTCAATTGACTCTAGTTGCAAAACTATGAAAGATAAGCTAGACAAATTTAACAAAGACTTGACAATAGATGAAAAGTTAGTTAAGTAAAACGTGGTACTTACAATTTCAGGTTCAAGAGCCCTTTTAAATACAGGCATGGGTTCATTGCAGCTTGGCATGTAGTTACGGCATTGGTCAAATGCTGCATATGGATCCGGTACGATGAGGAATTGTTGAATCTGGCCCTAGATAAGTAGCAACAAGACCAGATTGGTAACACATAACCTCTTATGCACCCAGACTGACAAAAATGTGGCTCTTGACCTTATCATGTAGCATGTCGGAACTCAAGAATTTGGGTGTAATTCAACAGTCACAGATTGCAGTCAAGGCCAGCAGCAGGGAGAGTGGTTCTTGATCTTTGTGAACAGCTACCTCTGTTCACAAAGAGGTCATCCATGTGACTTAAGATACTGGGTTGAAATCAAAGGCACTGTTTAAAATGACAATTTAATTGGAACAGTCCCAGTTATTCTTATATTGGCAGAGAGCAGGGGCTACTTGACATATTGTTAGCATGTATTGGTGTATTCATGAATTCAATATACAACTGCATAATTTTTCATTTGCAGTGGTTCATAATGGGGAAAGCTACGCCATTAGAACTGTATGTCTAACATTGAAAATGGGGAAAACTACACGTATCTCAGTTGCAGTTACAGTATAGACTTATAAGCAGATTTTGATTGGAATAACAGTTCAAACATCTGCTGCCCCCAAGAAAGAAAAAACAACTAACTTATTTTGAATTTTAAACAGACCCGTGGTGATTGAATTTTATTACTGGTTCAAAGCTTGCCTCTAATTTCAGCACTTATTTTTTCTGCATTAAATCTGCCTTTTCAACTGCATTTCTTCAAGAATTTTCCTTCTGGGATAAACAATTTACCACATACTTGGTTAAATAGCAGGAGGTACAAAAACTTTAAGAAATCGTCTTGTGTTGAAGAAAATATTTTTAAGAAATAAAAATTGTAAACAGTATAATATTTAAAATATTTGGTATGCTCAATTTTTTGTGGAAACAAGCATTTTCATCTTCGTCTTGACTAGATAAAAACTGCTGAATAAAGACTTGGTACCAGCCCCCACAGGCCGCGATGATTTTCTTTTTTAGCTTGCCCAATTGGGCAGGTCATGCCATAAATGTGCTTGCCCGAATTAGATCAACACTTGCCCAAGATTTCTCAAAATGCATGATTATTATGGTTATTTAATTTAGGCCTACTGCATGCATGCAGTCTTTTATTAGGCCCCCTAAAATAGTTGTGCTTCCAATCACATGCCTCTTAAAAATAGGGTTGGTAGGTTAGAAATTTTTTTGAGGGGGTCAATTTTTTTTGTCCTGATTGAATGGCATGAACGGGGACGACAGCTTCCAAAATTATCTCAAAAAGTGATGAACACCTGTCTTAATTTACACGTATGTAAAACTTTCTACAGGCGACAATTCATAAGAATTATGGGCAATTCACACAGGGTGACTGAGGCAATCACGATGGCAAACTGGCCAACAATGTATCGTGTGGTAAGCATGCGTGAGGCATCCAGACCATTAGGTGAAAAACCTTGTACCGCGGCAGGAAATTTGTTGAAAGACGCTCACTTCAAGTACCAGCAAAACAGACTCAAATTAAACTCTTGAACACAGAAAAAACACTCATAAATAAGAGACCAAGTTCTGTGAAGGAACTTGCAGAAAACCTCTTGCAACATCGATTTTTTTTATGTGTGGCTTTAGGGATGCGTGCATGTATGGGTGATGTAGAGTAAATGACCAGAATGTACAGTACATGTATAGACTGGTTCTGGTTGCTGCATGTACATTTCTTTGCATGGGCACGGCGCGGCGGGAACCAGAGCAGCATGTATGCAGGTTTTCTCAGTATCCCAAAACATACAAAGAGTGGCACTTCCTGGAAATTCTATGCAATGATGAGAATTAGTTCAACTGGTTGATACATGATGTGCATGGCTTACATTAATCATACATGTAGGTTATTCATAACCAACATAATGTAGGTCAATTACCATCATCAAAATATAATAGAAAAATAACAGACTATAGTTTTCTTATGTGCAAATCAAAAACACATTACTGGTGTCTCAGCTTAACTGTCTCCATCTATTGAAAGTGTTCACCTGCTGAGTGGCAGTTTCTTGAATAACAGTCTCTTGGTTGTATGTCACAGAGCATTTGTCACTTCTTCTTCTTCGTATGGGAATATCGTGTAGAATTTCACGTGTCAAAAATAGAGGCTGGGGAACTTGTTGCCAAGCCCAGTCATCCCACAGGAAGGTCTTATTACAGCCAATTAAAACTTCATGATGCAGAAGTGAAGTGCATCTACCGCAACTTACTTAATACACGTAGGTATGTTTGTTGAACAACTTTGAATGTTGAAGAAAAGTAAGATTATGGTAGTACATAATGATAGAGACATTTCTGATAAAACCTAAGTAAAAGAAGGAATGGTTCACCGAGTGTGATTTAAAGTATAGTTACCATAAATGCAAGCCAGAGGAAATGAAACCGAATCTCAGCTTCATGGATTGAGAGTGAAACTACATGTACAAACAGAGCAGGTAATGAGTTCTCATATATGAACTCAAAAGACTTTGAAGCAATAAGCTTGCCGGCATGTGACTGCCAAAGAATATCATGCAGGAGGCTTTGACACAAGAACTAGTCACAATTACATGGAAATAGGTCTATTACTTTATAGACATTAAATGATATTAATGCAATGTGTTCCCCTGGTTGTAACTCTTGGTACCAGAAATGTATTGGCCCTTGAAGCCAAAACTAAAGGGATCTAGTTTAACACAACATTGGAGAAACGTAAACTATGATAAGTAGCACAAATTATGTACAGGTACATCTTGTCAACAAAATACTCAATATTGACTCACCTCAAAGTGAGTTCCTTGGAAGGAGTTACGCATATCCCGTCCAAAAATAAATATTCCATCTGTCTTAACATTTGCTGGGACACCTCTTGCAAGGCTTGCTGTCTCTGTCACATTGCAATCAGTAATTAGCATTGCATTTTCACCATTTACACTTAATGCTAGCCTGTGCCATCTGTAGGGACAAAAAATAAGAAGTTTAAGATTATTATTACCTTGTCACTCATCTCACCGTACAGTGTGTTGGTCCAATGATTGGAACATTAACAGTATGCATTTCTAAAAACCTTATCCTTGGCTGCTGATTTGTAACAAATGCCATTTTTATACCACATGCATCTGGTGATGACACATTTTAGGCTTTCAAGTGCATTTGGTTACAAAGATCCTGAGCAAGGACAGACATCTGCTAAGCTTGAAGGCTAATAAAATTCAAACTCAGGGACTTGGTCAGAAAGTGTTTTCAACCTTTATATAAAACTTGTTGTGCTGTTTTGCATCCCTTATCAATATGCTGACCAAAAACTGACAAGATATCAACAACCAAAGCATTTTCTTATTTTAAATGGAAAACCCCATATTGCCTGTTGACAGGGTCAAAAAATGAATGCGGGAATGGAAATGTAACCTATATTTTTGTATAGTACACGTACATGTACATTACCAAGTTAAAGTACCGGTACATGTAAGCATCTTTTCCTCTGAATCAGTCATTAAAAGAGGTCACAAGTCTGAAGGCTTCCAAAGTGCGAAGTCAATGTGAATGCGAATTAATGCCTTTTACACACATAAATATGCATGTGACTCACTGTATTTACTTCAGTACTCTACTACACTAACAGAGAGCTGTATCTCACATCACCAGTCACTTTTTATGATTACTAGAATGTCACCATCTACCACCTGTCACACATTCTTTTTTCTTGCCACAAGGTCATGTGCATTTCAGACTTAACAGACATTTCTCTGTCTGAAAAAGATATCTCTATTTCAGAATAACATTTGATGTTTCATGTCTATGTACAATCCAAAAAGTACAAGATCTTTGAAATCATAGAAATCTCTCTCAAAGAAACTACTACTTCATATCTATACAGATACATCTGTGTTAGAGATACCACCATTTCAGTGCTGATGGGTAAACATCTTCCTGCCATTTTAACTAAAACTTACTTGATGGAAAGACACATGGCAACTGTTGAACTGCATATATCCAACTTTTCATTTAAAATCAATTTTCCTTTGGTGAATTTACCATGCATGTATTGTGTTGCTTTCTAGGTAATGCACACAGAATGAAGCATAAGGTTGGAACAATTTAATTAAACGTCACATGGGATTCTAAATTGACAAGCAATGGCATATCAGGGAATGAGTTTGAGATATGAAAAGAATGAAAAGCCAAGGCAGCGTGGTTTGTTTTGATGGTCTGTGGGTTAAGCTGGTACCTGAAGTTGTTTACTTACCTGCACGAGCTGACACCTTTAGGGAAAGTGCAATGGTAAGGTGATGACCTATATATCCTAAATGAGACCAGACTTGGTCACATGTGATTTTTGGCCAGGGACTCTCATATTACAAATACTTGTTAGGTTACAAATAATTGGTTTCTTCAAACAAAAGTACTTCAAAAACCATTTCCTCTACCATAAATATTTTTATAACCCTCCCACATTTTCTTCTGGGATTTATACCCAGTTTTGAATTAAAAGGCCAGTGGAATGTGAGCAGTATCCCCCCCAAAAAGGTACCATGACAAAATTTTCTAACTGGGCTGGGTGAGAGTCTGGAGCATTCTATGCACCATCTGCGCAATACATATCTTACCTAAATAAATATCCAGGCAGCAAGGTCATTTACTTCTTCATCTCCAGTACTTGTCAAATAATGTACATGTACACTAGACTAGCTTGTTTAGTTTTGTCCCTTCATGGAGATGCATGAGTGCATGGAGATGCATGAGTGCATGTAGAATCATCCAACAAAAGAACCAGGGGGGGATGAAAAGGGAAAAATGTATTGTTCTCTTTGTGAAAAAAAGCACTTTGCTTTTTATTTAGAAAAAATAAGTTTTGGAATGTGCAACAGTGATGGATAAGTGATTGACAAACAACACGTTGAACCTTAAGGCAAACATGGCCTCTCTGTCAGCAATTTAGATAGCTGGGGAGTTCTAGAGGAGGTCAAAACAAGCACCCAGCGTGCATCAGTTTCAAAAGTGACAAGAAAATGTTATGCAGCTGTGCACAACAGACAAAGCATCAATCCTCTGTCCCCACGGCCATGCCAAGCTAAAGAAGGTAGATTCAACCTTGGGACCAGAACCCCGACTGCTTTAGAAACATATGCCTCCTTAACGGGTTTGGTTCATTTAGAAAACTGCCTTAGCAATGATTCAAACAGTGCCAATAAGTTTGTATGTCACAAATGTTTGTATATTAAAAACATTAATTGCATAGGGAAGAGGGCAGCTGTTTAGTCTGTTTGATGGTACTGTACATGTACATATCACAGTTGTGTGTAAGAGGTATTAGCATGAGAACCAGTGTGTGAACCGTCATGAGCGTGTTCTCCTTGGATTACCTTGGGAGGCTATAGTTGTGCACCACTCCAAGCAGTCAGTATTTTGTGTAAGTCGTCACTGTTTCAACAAAGAGCCCCATGGAAGATTTTGAAGAAAACTGCTTTTTGAGATAATCCCCCCCAAAGTTTCTACTATTTCAAAACTGTATGAATACGTTTATAGAGTAGAAACCCACAAATGAGTCTTTAAGAGGTACAGTGGTGAGCAAAGTTATTTGAACATGACATTTCAGTTAGATGTAATTTAGTTCCATGTGTTGAAATGGCAATCAATACATTGTATATCCATGAAAAGTCCTTGAATACATGTGCAAAATATTGACACTCCTGAAGAAATTGATATCTAATTCCTTACAATGCCTGGTTTACATTTTCACCTGTATTATATAATTATAAGTAGCATAGCTCACTTTAATATACATGTATTAGTATACTTCCCCCAGCGTGCTTTACAGTTGGTAAAAGGTATTAATTTTTATACCTTTCACCCATGGGACTTGATACCGATCCCGACCTTTAAAGTATTATTTGTCAAAATAATTGAAAAACAAAACAAAACAGCCTCCCCCCCCATATGCCACTGAGTAGCTCCATCCAGCATCATACAGGGCCTTTATTCTTGTCCTTTGCTCAGTTATAAGTTCCTTCTTTGCCCTTGCTATATTCAAGCTGTGGTGATCTGTCCTCTGGGCTAGTTTCAGTGGCTTTAACCTTTCTCTAAATAGGGGATTTTCATGATGTATTTAAAATTTCATGCCTTCTTTCTTGACAAAAGGTTGCTACTGATGACCACAAAAGCTTGCCAGTCTGCTGACGACAGAGCACACCGTCTGAAATGTTGAGAACCCTCTGGTTCAAACCACACTTACTCTCAAAATATATTTTGCATGGTGCTACCACAAACCTATTGCCTTTACTTGCCATCTTCACCACGAAAAATTTCAAATTTCAACCAATGTACATGTATATAAAGATAACTGCAATCCATTTGGGCAAAAGAATTACAGAATAATGAGTAAGAGACACAACGAAAAGTTGGTTACTAGGGTTCTCTGGATAAATGTTGATAAAATGGTTCATTTCAGTACAAGCAACTTAATTCAGTCTCGATGTGCCAAGTGTTCAAATAGTTTTGCACACCATTGTAAACATTTGCCAGACCTAAGTAATTAAATGAACACAGTGGTTAATTAGCCGAAATTAAGTAAAAATGCGCATCCATTCGTGAAAACGAAAATCCACGTTTTCATGCTTTTTGTTCGATGTATGTTTCCACAGGGAAGGGGCATGCATGTTTACATGTACGCAGCACTGCTGTGAATGTAACATATTCATGTGTCTTTTTCTAATAACGAAAAACTGAACCTACTTGTTGGCTTTCCAGTCAATACACTTTGTACAAGGGGCAGTAAGATTTGTCTCTTTGTGACATGAAAATGCAAACTGCAGTTATCGAGATTTTGACCTAACAATAATGTAATTTTGACATTAATTTTGAATGAGGAAGCATGTCAAGAAGGTCAAGTGTGATGCTTTAAAGCAAAATTGTGAAAAAAATTCAAAATAAAAAAACTGCCGTTTTCGACATGGGTGAATCTTCATGAAAAGGGTAACTAGGTGAGCAATTGAAACTTTTTTCACTTTCCTCATACATTTTTTTCCAGCTTGGCATCATTCAGTGCAAGAAAACGTTGACATGCATTTATGGTGTAGCTATTCTTTTACATGTAGCTAGCTGAACGATGGGCACAGGTACATATACGAACTCCCTCGGTGTGATTGCTTTGTAAAGCCCATGCAGAGTAGACTACAGCCCTCGTCGACCGATAGTCTATAATATACACTAGCGTATTTTGACCTGTACCTAGACCACTCTCATATTGGCTACAATTTATAGACAGCCAAGTTTGCAGAAAAATCACACTTTGATTGTTTTTCAACATGACCTAAAATTTGTTCAAAATGTTAATTTGTCTCTTTCCATTGAAAAGAGGATTGTATTTTCATTTATCGCGTAGTACTAAATGTAGTATTTGGTGATTTGATGGTAGCGTGGGATTTCTCACACTTTATGAATTATTCTTCACTTTTGTACTTTTTGAAAAGCACAACCATGACTGGGTGCATTGATTTGCTTCCACGAGTTGACTTTTGTTTAACCTTGTCCCCACTGTCTCGCTTGTTTGACATTTCACTTGTTGCCCAGTGCCCTGCACTGTGATTGGCTACATTCTGCGCGACCGGTGACCGCAAGGTTATCACTTCCTGTTAGCGAAGCATTATTTAAAGTTTTGGTTCACCAATGGCAATGTTTTGCCACGAGCAAAGTGTCGGCTACATGACAAAAACATGGCCTTTGTACAATCACAGTGTGAGTAATTTATTTTCTCACTAAGTATTACTGATCATGTATCTTTGGGCGATATATTTCATATCATTGGTTATCTTGATCAATTTTGGATGAACGAATAGTGTACTGAGAATCTTTTAAGCCATGAGAAAGAAAAAGAAAAAAATATCAAATTGATAACTGCTGCTTCTGTAACACATTGAGCGAGCTCGCGTGCCTGGCAGCAATTTACCCACGATGCT